GTCTTCCTGCAGTTCTTTAAATCATCTTTACATCATCTTCTATACACTGTGTATAGACATGTGGATGCTGAGGAAAATTCCTATGCTGCGGAGGAGGAGGATACAGGCAGGAGGAAGCGCTGTGACAGCTGGCTGGTTTGGATCTTCCGGGGCGTATATCTTTATTTTTCTCACTGGACCCAAACCAGCACTCAACCCTTGCAGTGGGGGAGTAGCCCCACTGCAAGGGTTGATGAAAGGTTTTTCTGAAGTTTTAAAAGCATGTTGATTAGTGGAGAAGAAGGAACCAGATAAGGGAAATTATAAGCAGATTAAACTTCAGCTTTAAACATGTATGCAAATTAATTTCTTTAAAACTACGAGACATCTTTGCACTCAAATAGACATTTATTTACAAACATTAAAAAAACATTTTAAAAAATGCTAACTTGTATTAGTAGACTTTGAAGTCTTACCTCCCATGTGATGTAATAGTTTGATGTTTGAACCTGGTGTGATGTCCGTAATACATTGCCTGGCCAAAAAGTCACCACCTAGCTAAGCAAATAGAACCTTCCATTGGATAATTAGTCTAGGTTCAGCAACATTATGCACCCAAAAAATGCTGTCTACCTGAATTTACTGAACAGGTTTTTCCATCAATTGATTTTTTCTTTCCTGATGGCACATTGGGCATATTCCCCAATTGTGCCATTTGTGGGCTCAAATTGTGAAAGAGTGGTTCAGGGAGTATTAAACATAATTTTCACACAAGGATTGGCCACCACAGAGTCCAGAGTAACCCCATTGAGAATCTTTGAAGTGCTGGAGAAGACATTATGCAGTGGCCTGACTCTCCCATTGTCACTACAAGCCCTTGGTGAAAAATGGATGCAACTCTGGATAGAAATTAATGCTGTGACATTGCATAGGCTTATTGAAACTATTGTTTACTATATGCCCTGTTTACACCATACTTGTGAGGTGGTGTGCTGAAAGACAAAGCTCAACGGACATCACGTGAACAAGCCTTTAATGTTTTTAACGCTCTACTCTTGGCAGTTTTCCCTTTTATAGGTTAGTGTCTGCTTTGTGCTGGCTATACAAGATCACTTTGATTCTCACTTGTAGCCATCCTGTAGTATATGACAGAATCTGTACCAAGCTAGAGGTTCTTTTGAAGAAAATTGGAAAATAGCAATTGATATTTGATAGTCCCCTTTTTCTTGAGAAATTAAAATGATCCTTTAATGTAGTGATTCTTTAGTGAAATGGTTCCCAATTTTCCCTTGTGTGTATTGCTAGTTAACAATCTTTACTTACTGAGAAGCTGGCTCATAAAAAGTAAACTGAGTTCCGACATCACTGGCTGCATACATGTTCCAGGTCATGTTATATAGTAAAAAATAAAAACCCCATTGGTGAATAAAAGCCACCAAAAGAAAGCTCTATCTGTCCCCAAAAAATGGTATGAAAATCGTTTCAGTAAAGCGTTGCATGACGGAATAAACATCAGTCAAAGTACCGCAGCGCTGAATACTGAAAAATGGCCTGGCCAGGAAGGGGGTGAAACACTATGGCCTTCAAGTGGTTAAGAAGGTACAGAAAGTTAGCGTGATCACTGTGCAGCGTTTCTTTTAGTATGTCTGGAAAGAGTTTTGTGCTACAGCATGTGAGATGTAGTCAAGACGTGGCAGTCAGCGAAATCCTTTCTGAACTGGCCAAGAGCTTAAGGTTTCTTAAGGTTCCTGATCATTTGTAAATTGGCAGCTGTAAACTACAAATTAGTAGGGAAGCTGGCTGTCTTGTAATGTTGTTATTAGCAATGTTGTAAAGAATTTGTGGGAGATCCGTCGTGTGTGTTTGTAATCATTGTGCATCTGCTACCAGCTCGTATTGACTAGTCTGAGATGCAGAAAACATTCGATTTAATTATATTGGCCATACAGTATGTTTAATAGCAGCCCAGTGTTTTGATAGGGATTCTGTTTTTAGGTAAATAAAATATAACAAAGCATTTTGATTAAAGGTTTAAGTGCACTTATGCTTACCATCTCCACACTGAGATTTTTTTCCACTAACGTACTGGAAAGGTAGCACTCTGGAACACATCGCAGATGGGGCTTACCAGAACAACTCATTCGGTCACTGCATGGCGAGCACAGTGGATTCTGTAGAGTTCAATGTAAAGCCTGTCCACAGCTTAGAAACCTGTTGATGGGCTTTTCGTTGACTACTGTGGAGTCCATATTGCACACTAGCTTAGGCTGGCCAAACAAGAACTGTGCATACTTAAAGAAGAACGCCGGGAAACATTATTCTTAACCCTTACAGTGGGGATTCTCCTGCACTGGAAAGGTTAAGTGCTCATTTTTGTTTACGGTCTAAAATTACGGACTTATAAAACAGAGGGTTATTCACGAAGGAGCTGAAGGATCTAGCCGTGGCTTCGACTGATCCTTCGGCCGCCGGAGCCCTCCGGTTCAGTCGATCCGAAGGGCTGCTGTACGGGCTAGTCACAATAATCCGTTCAGCAGCCGAATGGCTCGGCTGAGCACATATGCTTTGGCTCGGCTGAGCCGTAGTCACAGCCGAAGCCAAGTTGTTGTCATTCAATGACAGCCCAGCGTCTTCGAGGACACTGGGCTTTGTAGACTGTAATTTTAGACACTGGGCTGTCATTAAATGACAACTGGGCAGAGCCGGCCGTGAAGTCACAGCTGGCTCTGCCCATTTGTTGTCCTTCAATGACAGACTAGCGTCCTCAGGTTATTTGGGGACACTGGGCTGTCATTAAATGACAACAACTGGGCGGAGCAGGCCGATGTCACGACCAGCTCCGCACAGTTTTCATTTGTCCGGGACCTGCGGGAAGACTCTGGCAGGTGCCGGCCAAATGTAAACAGTTTGGCGGAGCTAGTGGTGATTTCACCGCTAGCGCCGCCTAATTTATATTTTGGCCGCATCGGTCAGATTCTTCATGCTGTGGCCGGAGTTCGTCGTGGGCGCCAGGGTTTTTAAAATTTTATTTCGATGAGTCGTCTTTGACCACGCTGGACGTCATGTTTGACTCTGGATTATGTTGTTGGATCAATTTTTGGGATTTTTAAATTTTTTTTTATTAATGAAGGAATTGTCTGAGATTTTTGTTGTGTTTTATGTTCAATTAAATAATTTTTAGAAAAGTCTGGTCTCTTTATTTACATTTCATACCTCTTAGTCTTTCACAAGGCCGGGGGGGAGGGGCGCAATTGGGTGCACCTTTTTAAAGGGGTACCCCATGCAAATAAGCCCCCCTCACCGCAGACCCCACAACCAACACTCCAGAGCTTGTGGGGGAAGAGGCCCTTGTCCCCTTCGGCACCCTCCCAGTGCCGAGGGCATGTGGCCTGGTATGGCGGGGGGGGCGCTTACTCGT